CTTACCACATACATACAGGAAATGCTATTAATATTATTGCAAAGTTAAGTCGGGCATCTGTTATTCTTACTTGCTTAGCAACCATTATCTCTTCTGACATTCTTTTGGTAAAGACTTCACAATGATCTCAGTCCATGTGACTCTGGTTGGCTTATCTGTTGGCTCTGGAATACTCAAATGACCCAGGCCTGACCAATCAGCATGTGCTATTCCTGTGGGCAGAATGATTGGTTCAGAAGCAGACATGTGACCTGTGTCTAATCCTAGGACTAAGCTAATCCTAGGACTGCTCAACAATATTATTTACATATTATTGGTGCTATTTCTTTCTTTTCTTTTTGGTATGAGTCTGTCCCCTTCTAACTAATGCCCTAAATCAGGCCATGATTTGAAACAGAAGAAGACATTAAATTCTTTTAGTGACTTCCCCATTCAAGTGAAGTTCTTTAGACAGGCAATTTTATGGGGGTGCCAGTGATTCCCAGGTGACTGGTGCCTTCTCTTTTCTGCTTGCTGGCAATGCCATTGGTACCACCTGCCCTGAGCTCTGCTCATCTCCCAGCCGGTGCTGAGCAACTACAGAGTTGCAGAGGAGCATTCTACTATCCCTCCTGCTGCCTCCCTGCTGACACCTCCGTCTACTGGTCCAACTTCTGGGTTTAACTAATGTCTCCGTGACTGCCACTGGGTAACAGCACTGACATTAAAAATTATAGTTTTAATAATCCATGCAATTTATTGACGGGTGGAGAACTACTAAATATTTTAGTAACCTGCCATGGAAGGCCCACCCTCTGGAGATTGCAAGTTTGGGTCCTTGACTGGCTGCTGCCCTTGGCTTTGTGCCTATAAGGGCTGCCTGCTGCCCTCAATTAGTCTTCTCATCTTTAATGCAGTCATAAATGGTATCCAGCAAGGGTTTATAATGACGGCACGTATGTTGAAGCATTGGAGGATCCTCTATGGTATAGTGGAAGGAAGACTGAATTTTGTGGATTTTCTCCCTTGTTCTAATCCTGGCAATGATGATACTGTTACAGTTTGATATTCGTCACTGTTCTCTCGTTGGTGTTATAAATATAAAACTAAAATAAACAAAGTTTATGTTTGGAACACTGATGAAGTTTCTCCTAAGACATCAGCCAAAAGCCATATATGACTTTATTTGTGTCATATAATAGTTTTTAACCTCCTAATCATGACAATAATAACTTCTGAAGTGTGCCATAATCTTCTGTAAGGGGACTCTGCCACCCCTCACATCTCTATTAAAGATAGCTATGGGTGGCCACGGTCAGTACTGAATGAGAACCATCCTCTTCCTGATCAGCAATGATTGGAGCAGCGCTGGGCAACTGACCCAAGGGACAGATGAAGCCCAAGGACTCAAGATCTACTGTGGCATAAAGAGATAAGCTGGACAAACAGATTTCTTTTCTTGAGAAATTAAAATTATTAAACTAACAAAGATGGAACAAAGGGATCCGTGATGGATGCTTGAGTAAACAGAGGTGACCCGGTTACCAACAAGCCTAATTTATATGCCAAGCACAAATGACATGAGACATACCTGGGTGGGGGCAGGGCGGGTCAGACTGGGTCAGTTGGAATCGGGCCAGGAGAAGCATCCACCAGAGTATAATGTATCAGCATTACTGCTGGAAGACTGGAGGAAAGTTCCAGAAACTCCTAGCTGCTGGCCGCTGGCCCTCTCTCAGGCCCTCCCCAGGGCTGGCTCTCTGAGGTCCAGCTACCTGATGGCTTCTTACTTCATGCCCATGTTCCATTAACAATTCTGCTTTTTGAGCTTGTTCAAGTGAGGATCCTCTCCTTGGAGCATGAAGACACTGAATACAGACGGGCCACTGACCAGGCATATCACCTCTCTCAGCTTTCAATTTTTACATTTCTGAAACAAGAAAGTGGATGAGATCTTTGGGGACGGGTCTCCAAGGCTCATCTCGTGCTAGGATTTCACACTAATTGATGACTCTGCAGATAGTTATCATCACTGGAGTGTTTGGAGAATTCATTATTATGCATTATACTCACAAGCCCCATGGTATGGTGTACTGCCAAAATAAACTAATTTTGCCGGCAGTAAGGGAACTTTGAGGTAACCAAATTGAAAATTAAGTATGATTTGTCATTACTCATGCCAATCAATACTGCTGGAGTTGCTATTAGTCACTGTTCTCTTTGGTGTTATAATTTGAGTAATAAAATTAAATAAAAATAAAGGCTATGTTGGGAACACTGAGGAATTGTCTCCTAAGGCATCAACCAAATGTGATGTACTCTTCATATTTGTCAGATAGTTTTTAATCTCTGTTCTACCAAACTAGACTTTTATTTCATCTACTCTGTCCTGTACCTATCAGGAATATCAACTTCTTCTTCTTCTTCTTTTTTTTTTTTTTTGAAACTTAACATAAAGTGCAATACGATGTGGCAGGATAAGATGTCAGAGAAAAGCCATGATAAAGTGGTGTTCTCTGGATGAAACCTTCCTATGAAAGGATCAGGGACATAAGCAATTACATTAAAATGACATGGGGAAAAAGAGACCTTGAAAGGACAGCAAAGCTAATCTGAGGTGATGATTCCATGAAATAAGGGAACACCATCTTCGACTACTAGGAAACCACAGCTCATAAGGTGAGCAGCCTTTGTGGACTGAGTTCCCAGTCTTTGCTGAATGGCAGGAAGAGAGAAGACAGCATCCTGTCTAGTGACTTTTGTCCCTGACCTTCCTTCAGCTCGTCGCTGTGTACTTCTTATTGAGCATTTGCTATCTGCCAGGCTCTGTGCGAGGAAATCCTGTTCTAAGGAATTTCTGGTTCAAATCAGTTAATTGTTGTAGTTCTCCTTAATACTGAACTTGATTTATTTTCTTCTTGGCATTAGAATTCTCATATTTAGCCATGCCATATGGCCACTCTGAAAAATAAGAGTTTACTCTCTCTGTCTTCACCCTTTGGCTGGATGGGACCATGTGGTTAAGACATGATGGGTGTAAGTGCATGTGGTTAAGACATGATGGGTGTAAGTGAGCGCTCAGTTTACCTTTCTTATGAGACTCAGGACACTGCCTTTGTGCCTTTGTCTTTATCTGTCTTGCTGCTTGGGAGTTGGCTGTGCTGGCTGCAGCCCCTTCTTGGAAGGTGAGGGCTACTTAGGAATAGGGGAGTGGAAACCAGGTTCCAGACCACTGCAGATTGCCCACACCACCCTCCAACTCTGCACTTTTTATAGATGAGAGAAATTTCTACATTAACCAAGTCACTCTTTTTAATCTTTGTTACTTGTAGCCAAACCTAATCCTAATGCATTGGTGTTCTTTTCTTTCTCTGTCCCTAGGTATAATTTATATGCAATAAGGTCCGTGCATTTAAAATGCACAGTTTGGTTAGCTTTGACAAATGTTTTCACACATCTCATCACCACCACAGGCAAGATGTAGAACATTTCCAGCACTCAGCGAGGTTCTCTTTAGCCCTTTCCTAGTAACTTTTGTCCCTGACCTTCTTTTCCAAATGACCATTGATCTGCTCTCCATCAGTAAAGATTTGGATTGTACACCTTTACCCAAAAGGAATTATATAACATGTTCTCTTTTTTTATGGTGTCTTTCACTTAGCATAATGCTTTCAAGACAACAGGCATTGTATTTGTATTACTGATTCGTCTTGTTAAATTGCTGAGTTGTACTTTGTGTTAGGGTTCTCTGGAGAAATAAACCCCATCTGTTTGTCTGTCTATCTATCTATCTATCTATCTATCTATCTATCTATCTATCTATCTATCTATCTATCATCTTTCATTATCTCTCTCTCTGTATTCTGTGCAATTAGAGGAGAAATTTATTTTAAGGCCTTGGCTCATGTGACCGTGAGGGCTGACCAGTCCAAAGTTTGCAGGATGGCCTGGCAAGCTGAAGACCCAGGGGACAGCGGATGCTGAAGGCCATCATCTGCTGGCAGAATTCCTACTTCTTCAGGGGATCGGTCTTTTCCTGTTCGTCTTTAAACTGATCCAGTGAGGCCTGGAAGATAATCTATTTTAAGTCTACTGATATACATGTTAAGATAATCTAAAAAACACCTTAGAGAAATATCTAGATCAATGTTTATCCAAACATCTAGCCACACTGACACATAAAATTAGCCATGACATATACTAACGTATGCATAGATCACAATTTGTTTATCTATTTACCTGGCAATGAAAATTTGAATTCTTTATAGTGTTGGCTATTACAATTAAAACTCCTTGGTCAATTTGGTACAATTCCTTGAATAAATATATGCTTTCATTCCTACTGAGGAAATATCTAAGAGTGGGCTTGTTGGGTCGTACAGTAAAAGTGTAGTTCAAGTTTGTCAGAAACTGCCACACCAGTTCCCAAAGGGGCTGTAGCACCTTAGCTCTGAATATAACATATGAAGTTTTGGCTGCTTCACAGCCTTGTTTGGTATAATGGCTCGTTTTTTTTTTTTTAAAATAATTTATCCATTTCAGTGTACAATAGCATCAAATTGTGATTTTCATTTGCTTTTTTCTGTTGTTTGATGTTAAACGTGTTTTCATATGCTTATCTGCCCACTTTCTACTTGAATTGCTTTTTTTCTCACTGTTTTAAGAATTCTTTATATATGATGTAGATGTTAGCCATTTATCAGATAGATATATGTACCATGAATATTTTCTACTAGTTTGGGCTTAATTTTAATTTTTTTTTGATAGTGTCTTTACAACAGCAAAAGTTTTTAATTTTGGGCAAGTCCAGTTCATTAGTTTCTTTCTTTTATGGTTGTATCTCAGTCCTAAGACTATTTTTTTTATATACTTCAAAATTATGGACATTTTCTCTTATGTTTTCTTCTAACAGTTTTATCATTTTAGGTTTTCATATGTAGATGCATAATTGAATTTGAATTGATTTTTATGTTTTAAGGTGAGCATCAAAGTTTATTCTTATTGTTATCTTCTTCTTATAGCCAGAATATAATTAGAATATAATTTTTCTATTGGAATTCCTTGGAACCTATGTTAAAGTGAGTATATATGTATATTTCACTTCTGTAGTTTCATCTGTTCCATTAGTCTATATGTCTTTCCATATGGTACTAACACACCATCTTGATTGCTTTAAATTTATCTCTAGATTTTTAAATTGTAGGACTCATGCTTCTATTTTTGCATTTAATACACATTATTATGCTTTTTTATATTGTTAGTATATTGTTATATTATCTAATACTAATATTATTTGCATATTATTGAATTACTAATTTCACTATCCATTGTGTTTATTGTGTCTTCCTAGTTAGGAAGAAAAAAGTCCTTTATGATTTAATAAATGCAAATCCTGTTACCGCTTGACAAACTGAGACTCTCCCCCTCATATTCAAGCAAAATTCTGTTTTAATAAAAGTAGGAAGGTAGAAATATTATAGAAGAAAACAAAAGAAATTGTTGAGAAGTTATTCTATGCCATTATGTTTCTAGACTATGAAATATGAAACAGCCTTCCTACTTTTTAACAGGAGAATAGAGTGTCTTATAGCTTAACTTATCTAAATCATTCCATGTTTTAAAAACAGCCTGAGATGTAAAAAAAAAGCATAACATAAAATTCACTCATCTAAATTGTACAACTCAATGGTTTTTAGTGTGTTCACAGCTTATACTACCATCATCACAATCTAATTTTAGAATATTTCCATCATCTCCAAAGCAGCCATCTTTCATTTCTTCTCCAGCTACACTGCCCCTCTCTCCTCCGTGCACCTGCCACTGGCTCAAAACAGAGCATTGATCTACTTTCCATCAATTTGCCATTTTGGATGTTTTATATAAATGGAATCATGTAAGATGTGGTCTTTTTGGCTGACTTATTTCACTTAGCACAGTGCTTTCAAAGTTCCTCAGTGTTGAAGCATGTGAAGGCACTTTATTCCTCCTTGGTGATGAATAATATTCCATTGTATGGACATGCTAGAATTTTATTTAATCATTCATTGTTCAATGAAAAATTGTTTCCATTTTGCAAATATAGGTAATACTATTATAAATATTTGTACACAATTTGTGTGGACATGGTTTTCATTTGCTTTGAGTCACTGTCTAGCTCTGGAATTGCTCTATCTTATGGACTCAGATCTTGAATTCATGTCTTTAAAACTGAGCCCTTTTCTCCTCTTTTCCATTACCTGACACTGATTTTTTTATATATTTATTTTTATAGAGTGATTGCCTATAGAAGCTGTAACTTCAACTTTGTCTTGCCTCTATGGGAGATTCAGTGAATAAGTAATTTTCACCCTCTGTCCTTCCTTTTACTCAACATACCATCCTCGGAATTCAATGTTGACAATTTGTTCTGGAACCACTTGTCCCAAGGGAAATTAAAACTGCATTGTGTTTCAGAGATAGTGAGCAAGCCCTATGCAAGCTATTTGGAGAGATAAGAAGAATTCGAAGGATGGGGGTTAGGAGATTGGTGGATTTCTGTGAGATGTCAGAGCAATATTCTCTAAGGGTAGGTTGCAGTTGTGCACATTTATTTGAAAGATGCTGGAGAACAGGTGGTTGTAGATGCCTGCAAAGGACATCTTTGTGACCTGTTTGGAATATACAGAGAGGGACTGGCAGTAACAATGCCACTGAAGTTTAAGAAGGACTGTATTAAAAGTGATGACCACCAAGGATCAGGCACATTCCCTCTTTTCTTGGAAGCACATATATTTCCAGAATCTGGGAATAATCTTGAAGTTGAGAGCCTCAGTAATGACCAGAGCTGGACCAAATCCTGCCAATGCTTGTGGGTGCAGTTGTAATGACTTAGATAAAAAGGTGACACATTTGTTTTAAGTTTATGAAAGATGTTAGGTTAGATATCAATCTTTTAAGATACATAATACATCAAGATCTTAAACAGTGACACTATTATTGCTTATATAATTTTTCCTTATTTTAAATATATCACAACAAAGAGGAAAATCTCCCTGAGCTAGAGAGAAAATAATTTTTGTTAGAAGGTCCATTTGGCATTGTATAATGTCCAAATGTGAAAATGGCCTCCCTAGTGTCATTACTCTTCCTCTTATCCATTGGAGAACCACTCCTAAAACACGAAATGGTGCTGGAAGTTGTCCAGTCATAGACACTGAACAAGTTGTGTTGAAATGACCACAACTTTCAACGACTTGTTCATCTTCAAAGGTTTATTTTGGTTTTGCTGGTTTTCACACATCTGAATATAGCTGCCTATGTGTGTACATAACAAGGTTGGAGAAAGAAATAGTGGCTAGCCACTAAATGTTTGCCTACTGGCTCTCCAGTCTTCCTATCTATTTAGCATAAATTATCTATTCTCACTTATGCAATGAAAGGTTTTGTTTATGTTATTTTCATTCTTTCATTGATGAAAAGCAGACATTCAAGAAAGGGGCAAAAGAAGATATCTCTACCTGTCTATCTACCTACTTATTGAACACCTATTAGGTGCCAGGGGTTAGTGTCAGGGATAGGGTGATTCTGAACTGAGCTCTCCCATGATGTCCTTTACATTTTAATTGTCACCTAACATTTTCCTCTTGGTGACCTGTTTCTCTCTTTTTGTCTCCCTGTCTATATCCTCTCAGCACCAGCACCGTTTTAATCCTGAGGGTCCACTTTCTGCTCAAGATACTCTGGCAAAAGGAGTTTCAGATGACATAAAGCAAGAAAAGAGAAACATCACAGAAGCAGTGGAAATTGAGCATTGCATTCACCAGGCTTCCTGGGAACAGCTCAATGGGAACGTTGGCCATGAGTTGAAGGGAGAAGGGGGTCTAAGGAGTGAAATGGATTTCAAAATAAAGCAAAAATAATTAATAATTCACAATGTTAAGGAGCGTACGGGACATTTTCATGCCACAATCAACCCAAACTTATTAATAAGATCTTTAAACCACAGACTTCATATAAAAGAATCCAGTTGCAGAAATACACTCAAAGCAACTTGATGATAGATTTAACAGTTTCAAAGTGCCAGGATCAGCCCAAGCTCAGTCTACTCCAAATCTTCCAAATATGGTAACGGAAGAAACTACTTGATTTTAGTAAAACATACACAGCTAGGATAAATCAACAAAAAAAAAAAATTGGGAGTAGAATACTAGTTCTCATCAGGCTGAACTTCTATTTCTAATCTTTATATGTACAAAAAATAAATAAAAGCAAGTCAAAACAAAAAACCCTCAAATACCAAAAATAAAACAAAATGAGTCACCATGTAAAGTATTTCTTTCTTCTACCCTACATGTTTCTGGGGAGGGGGTACATCAGTGTAAAGGAATCCAAATTCTGTTTTAATTCTTTTACTATTTACGTGTCCTGCTTCAGGGATTTATACCTCGCTTGACCTCACACAAAAATCTTGAAAATAGTCTTTGGCGAATACGCTCTATTTAGAGGTATGAGAAATACTAAATTCCAGACTGAGGCCAAATGTGCTGAATGTGTTGGCAGAAAAAGGAAAATGATGTCTGAACTTGTTTTTTTTATTGTGGGGGGAGTAATTAAATTTTATCTTGTGTCATTTGTACACTAGGAATAAAAGTAAAGCAGTTGCTCAAACCCCTCAGTTTCAATGGCTTTGCTGTCACCTGCTCTCATACTCTGTCACTTTTTTTTTACTGTTCCTTTTTCTTTAGTGGATACATTTTATATAATAGCAGAACTGCAAAATCACCTCATTTTCATATAGTTTACCTAAATGTGCAACTGTTCTTCATTGTTTTATTTCTTATATATATTTTCCATCCTGGTAGCTTTCTAAAGTAAAAAAAAAAGAAATGTATTGAAATGATCCAAGTCTATGTAAGAGGTTAGTACATATTTTTGCCTGCCCATGTGTAGAATATCACATTCATTCCTCCCCGAAAGTTGATTCACTAAGGTATTTTAGGGATAACAAGACTGAGGTGCATTATATCTGTTTGCCAATATCTTAACACACTTTAGATTTTATTTCTTTTACACTTTTGACCTGTTCCTATAATTCTAAGTTAACATTTAATATGTAAATGCTGTTTTTAATCTTGAAGACCTTGAGAGTGTATAGACCCTGTGATGGTTTCAGAACACTTACTGAAAAGACTCTAGGGAAAAAAAAAATCATTTGAAATTGCAAGTACTTTGAAAAGAAATTCTTTTACCAAAGGATAGCATATACATGAGAAGGACATATAGGATTAGCATGTGGTTCAATCTCAAAATCACAAACTGCACCCATCCACAGGAACACTATTCACCTGAAGAAATATAGCAATGTCTGCACCCTAGAAGTGCTCATGTCCCCGCTCAGTTATACCTTTTTTCTCTTCCTTCTTCCTAAAGGTGAAACTGTTCTGTTTCCTAACTGCCGAATATAGGCTTTTCCAGGACCTTGGTTTAGCATTTAAGATACAGTAACCCAGATGCTAGGAAACAGGGTGTGGTTGAACTAGAGTGCATTATTATCTTGATGGGGAGAGGGAGGTAAAGGACAAGATCCCAAGTAAGACTGTGATTCAGAAGATGATCCCTTGAGGGTCAGGTGATACAATATGAGCACTTGGAAGGTGGAGCTAAGGCAAATAAAATAAATTCTCTAAAGTCTGTGGTATGTTTTGCTTATAAGGCAGATATTGGTTAGATTTTGAATTTTTCCCCTGAAATTTTGTTTCGTTTTAAAAAGCAGGATCCTACAGTTTCCTGTTAAAAATCACTTCTGTCCTATAATCTGGAGTAACAGTTAATATAATTACCCTCCTTCTCTTTCCTTAGGGAAGCTCTTGACCAAACTCAACCTATCATATGCTCCTTCCCAGGAACCCAAAGCTGGAACTGGTGGATGTTCATCAATTTCCAAAAGTGACGGGTGCTTCTGGGGGCCAGTACCTGGAATCCCTACGTTCAAGCCAAAGCCCAGTTCCTTAAACCTGCTTATTAATTCTCTAAACTCTTACTGATCCCACCTTTCTCCTACACTTTCAGTCTGATTGAGCACAGAAAAAGATTGTAACTGACTACTTTGGACTCTTCAAATGTAAAACAGTGAGTGGATGTGAAGGCCTGTGCCAAGATGTTGGAGTGCTGGGCCTGCATTTCCTCTAGCAATTGCAGGGTTTTCGTATAATTCCTAGGTCTTTGATCTAATTTAAGTTGACTTTTGTGCAGGGTTAGGGTTATGGGTCAAATTTCATTCTTCTATATGTTAAGATTCAGTTTTTCCAACACCTTTTGTTATATATATATTTTTTTCTCCAACGTATGTTTTTAGCACCTTTGTTGAGTATCAGATGACTGCATCTAAAGCATAAGAAACAAAATCAAGGATCAATAGTGGGATGAAACCAGATCAAAAAGCTTCTGTGTATCAAAGGAAACAAGAGTATAAAGAGAGAGCTATAGAATGAGAGAGGATCTATAGAATGGTCCTCAGGAGATTAATATTCAGAATACATAAAGAACTAAAAAAACATAATGAAAAGAAAATAAAGAACCCAATTAATAAATGGGCAAAGAAACTAAGCAAACACTTCTCAAAAGAAGAAATACAGGGCTGGGGATGTGGCTCAAGTGGTAACGCACTCGCCTGGCATGAGCGGAGCACTGGGTTCAATCCTTAGCACCACATAAAAATGAAATAAAGATGTTGTTTCCACCAAAAACTGAAAAATAAATATTAAAAAATTCTCTCTCTCTCTCTCCAAAAAAAAAAGAAGAAGAAATTCAAATGGTCAACAAATATATGAAAAAATATTATGTGTCTCTACCAATCAGGAAAATGGAAATCAAGTCTACAGAGATTTCATGTCACTCCAGCCAGAATGGCAATGATAAAAAATACAAACAACAATTAATGCTGGTGAGTGTGTGGGGAGAAAGAAACACTTATGCATTGTTGGTAGGACTGCAAATACTGCAACTGCTCTGGAAAGTGGTATAGAGATTCTTCAGAACACTAAGAATTGAACCACCATATGACCCAGATATTCCACTCTTTGGTTATATATACAAAAGATCTAAAATAAGAATACTATAGAAATACAGCAAAATCAATGTTTATGGCAGCACAATTAACAATAACAAAATGATGAAATCGGCCCAGGTATCCATCAACAGATGAGTGGATAAAGATTATGGGTTATTTTTATGCAGTGGAGTTTTATTAAGCTGTGAAGAAGAATGAGATTATGTCCTTTGCTGGTAAATGGATGGAAATGAAAGGCGTCATGCTCAGTGAAATCAGCCAGACTGGGAAAATTAAAGTTTGAATGTTTTCTGTCATATGTGGAAGCTAGATCAAAACAGGGAAAAAAGCAAGCTGAGGGGGGTGGGGGAGCATCCCATGAAAATTCAAGATAGATCAGTGGAGTAAAGGAAGGAGATTAAGAGTTAGGGCAGAGGGATGGGAAAAGAGAATAATAGTGAAATGAAACTGTCCAAGCTATTCTATATACATATACAATACAATACTATATGTATTGGAGTAAATTAAATTCCATGCTTGTATGATTGTCAAAATGAACCCCAATATTTTGTATAGCTATAATGCACTAATTAAAAAAACAACAACTCTATGTCACTAGGTCTCCATTGTAGGTATAAATAAGCAACTCAATCTCCAAGATGAATGCTTTCCAGGCTGCTTTATTAGTTCCTAGGGAATTCACTCCCTATTCACCCTTTCTTAACCAGCAAATGGATGCTGGGATCAATTTACGCCTTCTGGTGGGGCAGATATAGAAACCTGAGTCCCCTTTTCTCTGGCTGCTTGCAGATCTCCAGTATTCCTGAAGTGGAATGCGGGGTACTGGTACCCAATTGCTTGTGGAGTTTTTTCAGGGGGAATTCAGTCCTAGTCCTTGCTCAACCCCTGTGGACTTGCAAAAACTCACCTTCTTATTTTTAATACAGGCTTCTACTAGTCTGAGTGTACTCAGAACTTCTAGAACTTTCCTTCATTATCCCTGAGAATTTCTGCATCCTCTACATGATGTGCAGACTGCAAACCCAGACCAATCTGTTCTCTGAAAATTTTCTTACTCATCCTTAAGATTATTGTCTGCATGGTATTATTTCAATATTACACTAAAAGCAAGAGTTCACTTAGAAACTTGTTTTCCTGTACTGCAATCTGAGTCAAAGAGAAAGTGCCTTCTCCCTTCCATTTCAAGAGCTGTACAACTGGGTGTTTTACTTCCTCTCTTCTTCTTTTGGGGATTTATTCCTAAAGTCTTCATAGTTGTCCTAGTCAAACAGAGTCAACCCCATTCTTCTTTCTGAAACTTCTATTTTTTTTTCAGAGTTTGTAGTCTTCTGTCAAGGGGAAACTTCTTTTATATATTATGTATTAGGACAGCAAATCCCAAGGATTTAATAAAAAAAAATAGCATATTGTACCCATGCTGAGACCAGTGCAGATTTGTGGGAATGGAGAGGAATCCTTGTGTGTCTCCTCTGAGGGTTAACTCAATGAGGTAAAGTGCTTCTACTATGTGCCTCTCCTGCTTGGGCAATATGGAGACTAGAAATGGGATGAGAGATCTCATAGGGTCTTTAGTGGTGAGGACCTTCCTGGCCATGTCACCAGTGCATTGTCCCATGTAGATGCAAATGCCTAGGAACTGGAGAGATCATTTTCTTGTACTCACAGGAGGAAAATGGGATGGTTTGGTAGACATTCTTTCTTTTGCATCGTAAGGGTCTTCTTCCTGTTGCTATGGTAATTGTTTTCCCTGAGCCAGTAATGATGGATGGCTATGAGAAAAGGAACCATCTAATCCAGAAGGAAAAAAATGCACAAGAGAATATTTCAAAAACATTTACCCTATTACCTTCCTGGAGGCCCATGTTGTGCTGTATCAATGCTATTATTGATCCTTCCATCTTTCAGATTTGAATTTTGGTGAGTGAAGCCTATTTTATTTTTGTTCTGAATTTCCAATATGTAGAAAGGGACCTAATTGACCTATTAGGAATATAATCGAGATTAGTTAAGTGATTGCTAAGTTTTCAGAAGTGAAGTTCAAAGAAATATTTTCTTATTATATTTGGATTTCCAAACACAACACCTTTCTTGGCAAAGC